CCTGGTTTTGAACGGATATTTTCCACACCAAAGTTTCGAGGCTGCTTTTTTTTTCTCAAACACAGTACACTTTGGTTGCAACATAACCGTAGTCTTTTTTTCTGTAACTTCTATTTTTGATAGATTTACGTTACTCTATAAGCATACGAATGTCGCGTACGGCTGTATGGAAACACCGATATATTTAATTTAAAAATAGGTAAAACTTGACATTTAAGAACAATTTAAAATAACGATGAAACCAAAAGATAAATAACAAAACGTATTGAAGGTTTTAATTGAGGACAATTGAGGATTGGTATTAAAAAAAAATAAATACATACATAATTCACAAAGTTTTTTAATATGAAGAAAAGCACGACTTGGTACCATATATATACCTATTTCTAGGGGTGTATGTACGAAAAATTGTGTTATAAAATTTTTGAATGAATATTCATTCACTCTGCTCAGTGTACCTACTTTATTCAACAATAATGCGTCATCAACCTGCTTCGCCTATTGTTTGCATACAACTAAATAAAATTTGTTGCTCTTCTACTCTTTCTGTTGACGTTCGGATTGTGTACGTGTAAGAAGCCGATTGTGTACATGTGAAAGGCCGAATATAGTTCGTTTCCCAGGAAAGTGCTTGGCGGGCACTGCTCTAAACACAAACGCGTGAAAGGCAAACGGTCTAGCAATGCGTGGAATTGGTGATCAACTTAGGGCCGTTTTCTAATGTAAGCAGTAAAGTTGCCTTTACTAACAGGGCCGATAAATTGTTCCTCACTTTAAAGTGTTTTCGTTTTCTTATCTTACTGGTAAAAATAAATTGTTTATTCCGTAGAGTGAAACTTCACTACACTTCCTAGAGTGAAGCTTCACTACATTCGTCATAAAATTCCAAAGGTTGGCAATGCAACATAAGCAATTATAGAGCAAGAGCACCTGTTAGCAAAAACCAAAACCTTGGTTGAAATATCTAATATATCTAACTCATGAACCATAACCAAACTGAAATTTAAAGTTAGGTACAAATTTTAAAGGTTGCAACGGGTAAGAAACAATTTATCGATTCGAGAAATTAATGCGCTGATGAGAAAACGAAAACTCGTATATCGAGACGATAAAGTAGCCGGTAATCTAAAGCTTAGATGAGAAAACGGCCCTTAATACTTTATTTAAACATAAGGGTTGCTCACAGTTCGAATGTGTTATCTTGTTAAAGTTGCCACCTTTTAACTTTAGAAGTAAACTGTGAATACCCTAAATATGTGATGCGACCTTGGACAGTGTATGGATGCGTGTTGGTGTTGAATTAGGTTTAAGTTATATGTGCATAGCACAATGGAAGTGTTATGTACAGTAGATTAGTTATGTAGGCTGTTAGGCTTAGAATCTTATCTAAATAAAGACGGCTACTCTATAGCTGCGTGATTCTCTATCAGAAACTCGGTGGTTTCACTTCATAGCGGGCTGATCATCCATTGTACGTTTTCAGAGGGGATGTGAAACAAAACTGATGATTTATTGTTAGTATGAAAACTAGAAACACAATTATGAACTTATTGAGCATTATCCTCTTTCAAAAACAAAAGGGGAAATGTTCGGTTATTTTGCAATGGGTTTGGTTGTTGTACAAATAACCGAGCCATACCCAACAAAATATATACCTTTTGCTTGTTCAAATTTCGATTATAAGAACAAAATGTTTGCAAATAAACAAGAAATTAATGACAAAATTTGAAGGATTTTAGATATTGGATACGGTAGCACAAAATGTCAAAATCTACTTAATTGTCAGGTTGTTAATATGGCGACGAAACGGTGACAACCTTTTTTGTATCATGGATAATACTTCAAAACGGCAGAACACTTGTTTTTAACAATATTTTGGTATACGAATAAAATATGGTTTATTAAAAATAAAAGTGTTATTCAATTGAGTGTATACATCGTTGTACACAGAAGCCAATAAATTATTTTATATTTATGACATTTTTGAATGGTCATAATGAGATTATCATCTTCAGTGTTTAAGTAGTCAAAGAATTCTATACATTTCATTTAAAACTTACTCTTAATTTGCAGTTTACTTTAAAAATCAATTAATCAGAGGCCGGTTTCTCTCTTTGCCCCAGGAAGCAAACTTTGTAATTAAGATTTTGTTTGAGTGTGGTATTGAAAAAAACAAATTTCATATTTTTTCAAACTGTGGTAAAATACCACTATTAAAAAATTTCATCTATAATTCCTCATGGCTTAAATTAATTTTTTCAACTACGCAAAAACTTTTAAAGACTAAGAATTTGCTAAAAATAGTATCTAACTCTATGTTTTTTATACGAAACTCGTTTACAATGTTTGTAAATTGTGAAAAAAAATGTAAGTTATAGGCAAAAGCCATTCGAATATTCAGGTTTGTTGTTATTAAACTGAAAGTTAGTTTCGAGATAACTAACAATACTCGACAATAAAACGTCAGCTTTATTTTTAGAAAATTAAATCTCCATCGCAGCTGGTACGTAACGACCCGTCGATATGCCCATAAAACGATTGATCTTTTTGTTGTATTCATTTCTTGGGCATATCAAACATTATTTGAAACATGTCATCTATAATTAAATTATTATTTTTTTTTAATTTTTACAGTACTGTTTAAGGAAGTTCCAGCGTTATGTTCAAACCTTAAGAAAGTCCTAAAGTATTTTGTTTGAATTGAAAATTCAGTACAAATCACTACAAATTTTGAAAAATCAGGACATTAGCGTACAGACTGAAGAAATAAATAAAATCAGTAAAAGAGTTGAAAAATCAGTACTGTACTGATAAAATCAGTACGTCTGGCAACCGTGTATGTATCTAAGTTTAAATATATAATTTTTTCTCTAAACCCTAAGAAAAAGAATATCATAATAGTTACAATAATGTGTACGCAAAGTATAATTTTAAAATTACACATGACAAAATACTTA